TCCCTCCCTACAGACCGATCATGCCGACTGCCTCACCTTGCAGAGGGGGCCTCAACCGAGCCGAAAATCTGGCGCAATTAGTGTGGCGCGGCACGGTTTCGCTGCTAGCAACACCCCCCCCGCCGACGCTTAAGGTATTAAGGCACTATATTAGCAGTAATATGAGCATCATAAAAGCATTAATAGATCATGTTTATATACATGTTTATATATATACACACAAACTGAAAGATTGACAATAAAGTTGATGTGATGGTTTACAGACTGCTTGGAAACCCAAATAAAAACTTTGTGATTTCATATTTTATAGAATATAATCACAAATAAAGGAACATACACTTATCCCCTCTTCTGCAGCACAGTTCATTATTATTCATGCATACAGCTATTTATTTAATGTATAACGCTCTTTAATATAATATTTACAGTTAGATTATATATCATTATTTAACAATTATGTAAAAACACCACCAGGAGAAAGTAGAGTATATGAGGGTCCAAGGACAGAGGGGGTCGTTCTCACATTCTGTACAAACTGAGTCCACTGAGACAAATGACAAATGTGTGATATTGGGCTATATAAATAAACTTTGAGTACACTTGAGTCATGATGAGGCTCACTACAGAGGGAGAATTCTCTATAGTACATTCAGCCTGCAGTCAAATGTGTCTGAATACAGAAACAGCTGATAAAAAATGGGTCAACTCTCTGGATAGAAGTGTGTGGCTCTTAAAAGAGCCTTTGTTGAGGTGGTTGCAGCGGGATCAGGGTGTTTCTCACTTTTTGGCGGCCTTCTTGGTCTGCTTACTTTTAAATTATTTGCTGGTAAACTGGGTTAACTTGTTCAGTGTTGACATGTCTGAAAAAGCATCAGCAACACCATCTAATTTTGAGTCTGACAAGCCTACAAGTTATTAACGGTTGTATGCTCGGCCATTGATATGTGGATATCAGGCCCCCTGAAAAAAATTCAACAAGATCATTAGAGTAAATATATATATTTTGGTCATACTACAATATACATCCATACACATTAGGGTAGTGGACATTTGCATTATATATACACACACAGGTTTGAAGTGTTTATGAGCCCTAAAAAAAAAATAGTAGCCTAAAAGTTTAAATATTCTCATAATGGCAGCAATAAGAGTTGATAGCTTAATGAAACAGTTGTTTGTTCAAAACTATATAATAGAGGCACAGGTTTGATGAAGGAAAGCTCTCTGGATAGAAGTGTGTGGCTCTTAAAAGAGCCGTTGTTTGATGAAGCGGGTTCAGGGTCTTCACTTCTTGGAGGCCTTCTCGGTCTTCTTGGGCAGCAGCACAGCCTGGATGTTGGGCAGCACGCCTCCCTGAGCGATAGTCACTCCTCCCAGCAGCTTGTTCAGCTCCTCGTCGTTGCGGACGGCAAGCTGCAGGTGGCGGGGGATGATACGGGACTTCTTGTTGTCCCGGGCGGCGTTTCCAGCCAGCTCCAGGATCTCAGCGGTCAGGTACTCCAGCACAGCGGCCAGGTACACCGGGGCTCCGGCACCGACACGGTGGGCGTAGTTACCCTTCCTCAGATGCCTGTGGACACGGCCGACTGGGAACTGGAGCCCGGCCCGGGAGGAGCGGGTCTTAGCCTTGGCTCGGGCCTTTCCTCCGGTCTTCCTTTTTTTTTTTTTTTTTTTTTTTTTTTTTTTTTTTTTTTATAAAACTTTATTTTAAATTATTTGGCAGTACATGATATACACAAGTTACATTAATAATACACATAACTCACAATGCATACATATATAAATAACATAAACAGAGAGCACGTCCATATTCCAGCGAGTTCGGTCAGAGACTCAACATTTGTCAAAGGTTTTCCTTTTTAGTTCGTTGATAAGTTGTCCCACATGAGGCGACCTTTTACAGCACTTGTTTGTTCTATCTATTATTTTATCTAATATATCTGTTAATCTATTCATTTTTATTATAATCAGTATTCATAGTTAAACGTCTGTAATTATCTATATCACATTCTTATCTATGTCTTCCGTTACTGCATAAAAATCTCCACCGAATATAATTCTATAACCCACCGTTAAAACCTCTCCAAGTTTTCTAAATACCTGTAACCCACTTGTTGCGTCAGGGGCAGTATAAATACCAACAAGTAGACATTTTTCATTTCCACAATAACAATCCATCACAAACCACAAATGCCAACTTCATCAGCTCCGCCATCTCCGACGGAGACAACACATTCTCCCCCGTGCCACATCTTACACTCTACATCTCTAAATTAGCCCGTTTTTCTATATCGTTCAAGTTTCTACTTGCAGGTCTCTTTTTTTTAGAGACCTCCAACGGGGCCTCCCTCTGAGCCTCACTCGCGGGGTCTGGATAATCCGGAGTCGGAGAAAAAGACCCCGAGTGACTCTCAGGGGGCGAGTAGAGGGGCATGCTGACTCGCTGACCAGCTGTAAGGCTGTCAGGGCTAGAGTCAGATCCTGGGCTTTCGCTAACACTCTCATAGTATTGATCATCTTCAATCTCACTGTCAGAGCTGCACTCACTCTCAACATCACTGTCAATGGTCAGTCTGCCCTCACCTGACAGGGGTGGAGAGTCGTCTTCAGGAGATGAAGACTGTTGATCATCAGGGAGAGGGACATCCTTGCTGGCAGGACGACGATCAGGCTGCTGCTGGGCTGAAGGACGAGGACCAGGACCAGGCTGATGCTGGGCTGAAGGACGAGGACCAGGACCAGGCTGCTGCTGGGCTGAAGGACGAGGACCAGGCTGCTGCTGGGCTGAAGGACCGGGACCGGGCTGCTGGGCTGAAGTACGAGGACCAGGACCAGGCTGCTGCTGGACTGAAGGACCAGGACCGGGACCGGGCTGCTGGGCTGAAGGACAAGGACCAGGCTGCTGCTGGATTGCAGGTCTAGGACCGGGACCGGGCTGCTGCTGGGCAGAAGGACCAGGACCGGGACCGGGCTGCTGGGCTGAAGGACGAGGACCAGGCTGCTGCTGGGCTGAAGGACCGGGACCGGGCTGCTGGGCTGAAGTACGAGGACCGGGACCAGGCTGCTGCTGGGCTGAAGGACCAGGACCGGGACTGGGCTGCTGGGCTGAAGGACGAGGACCAGGCTGCTGCTGGGTTGCAGGTCTAGGACCGGGACCGGGCTGCTGCTGGGCTGAAGGACCAGGACCGGGACCGGGTTGCTGGGCTGAAGGACGAGGACCAGGCTGCTGCTGGGCTGCAGGTCGAGGGCCGGGACCGGGCTGATGGGCTGAAAAACCGGGACCGGGCTGCTGCTGGGTTGCAGGTCGAGGGCCGGGACCGGGCTGGTGGGCTGAAGGACCGGGACCGGGCTGCTGCTGGGTTGCAGGACGAGGACCGGGTCCGGGCTGCTGGGCTGAAGGACCAGGACCGGGCTGCTGCTGGGCTGCAGGGAGGGGCTGCTGCTGGGTGACTGAAGGAGGACCAGGCTGATGCTGGGTAACTGAAGGAGGGCCAGGCTGCATTTGGGCTGCAGGACGAGGCTGCTGCTGGGTTTTTGCCTTGTTTACATAAGAAGATGGGCAGTTGAAGAAGTTGTGTCCAATCTTTCCACACAGGTTGCAGAGACTGTCTGAATCGCAATCTTTAGCCTTGTGGCCCAGTTCATTGCATCTCCAACATTTCACTGTGGTGCATTTTCTGACCTGATGGTCAGCTGAGTTGCAGATGAAACAGGTGACGGATTGCCCTGGATAAATTATTCTGCCATTATAGGGGCCGAGAGATATCGAATTTGGGAGATTTTGGATCTCACCATCACTGTTTCGATTCATCTTAATTTTGTATTTTCTCACTCCATACCATATCCCGAATTTATCTACTGGTTTGTATTTGCTGATTATATTTCCATATCTCTTCAAATAGGTCTCAACATCATGGTCTGGAATACGGCCAGTCCAGAATTTAACAATGATGTTTGAGATGTCCATTTGAATGGAAGATTCGAAAGTCCAGTCTTTCCACTTGGGATCTGAGGATTTAGTTGTGAGAACGTCAAGGAAACGTCTCAGTGGAGTTTCTAGCAAAAAGCAGAGTTCAAACTCCTTTCTGTTTGGCAGTGCTATGAAGGAATATACATCATTTGTGTTGATCCAGCAGGTATCAAATAACAGTGATTCTCCAACATATTCACGACTAGGGGGTTCTCCTGAGCCTGTGAAGTTCAGGCGAACCCAAAACTGTCCAAATTTTGAAGCAAAAGATGGTACGCTTCCAGGGAGAGACATTTTTTTTTTTTTTTGTATATATATATTTTTTTTTTTTTTTCTTTTTGTATTTTTTCACCCTTTTTCACCTCCTTCCTTTCCTCTTCGAGTCATTTTGAGTCTGTTGGGACGGGTCGTTCAGAACGAAACTTCAAAACGGTCAACTATAGTTACGGGCATTTTCCAGCACCTGCACCTTTTCCGCGACCAGACATTTGCTATGTTAATGTTCTTCGAGACTCCGGTCTTGTCTCTTCCTGACATTTTCTGTTTAGGTTAGCAGAAAACACCTTTTCCGCGACCAGACATTTTCTATGTTATTGTTCTTCGAGACTCCGGTCTTGTCTCTTCCTGACATTTCCACTCATTCTCAAGTCTTGATGAGTCGGGTCGTTCAGAACGCACCTTTGCCTCGGCCTGACATTTTCTATGTTATTGTTCTTCTTCCCTCTTCCTGACATAACTGATTTCTCGGGTTTACAAAAAGTGTGGCTATTTGCTCGCCACAGCGGCTCTTTATATCCACCAGCTGCTCTCTGATTGGCCATCAGCGGGGGTATCGACGATCGTCCAATCAGAAGGGAGCTCACGTTAAGAGGTCTTCTTCCAGTTGATACTAAAAAGAAAGACACTAAACCTGGAGCTATTCGAGTAAATGCAATGAATATATGTATCATATCTGTCAGATGAGCACAGTGTTAACAATTTAGACCTATTTATTTATTGTTCATCATTTTACAATGTGTCGCTAACAGGCTACAGATGCAGGCAGCAAGTAAAGAGAAAGCGAAAAAGATGAAGTTATACAATGGAATAATATCAGCACATGATAAAACCCAAAGTAATTCTAGTGAAGTGCTATTAAACCCAGGTCTCCATATGTTATCACTTTATTGTATTAAAATGACATCTACATTTAATAAATCATATTGAAGTTCTAGTTTTAAATCACTACTATCACCTGAGCAGGTCTAATGGACCTAAAGGCAGCTTTATTCTTAGGGCTCTTTGTGGCCTTCTTCACGGGGGTTTTCTTGGCAGCAGCAGCGGGCTTCGTCGCCTTCTTGGGTGTTGCTACGTTCGCCTTCTTAGCGGCGGGTTTCTTCGCTGCCGGCTTCGTGGCTTTGGCTGCGGGCTTCTTCGCCACCTTCTTGGGCTTCTCGGCTGCCTTGAAGGACCCGCCCGCCCCGGTTCCCTTGACCTGCAGAAGGGATCCCTTCTCCACCAACTTAATCACGGCGCGTTTAATGTGAGCGGTGTGGTCGAAGCCCTGGGCGGCCAGCTCCTTCTTCAGAGCCACGAAAGAGATCCCTTTCCGCTCCTTGGAGGCGGTGACCGCCTTCAGGATGAGCTCCGCGGCGCCACCCTTCATGGCGGGCTTGGTGGCCTTCTTCTTCGCGGACTTAGCTGTTGCCTTTGCCGGGGCGGCCGGTGCTGCGGTGGGAACTTAATCTGCCTTGATGCTCTCAGGAACACGAGTCAATTTGAGACTGATGGAAAAGCCCCAACACAGAGAGGCTCTTAAACACAGCATGAGAACCGTAGAGACTCAACTCAGCACATATATGGCAAATTCTTATCTATAAACTATTATTTTGTTTTCTCATGACGGTTTACATTTTCTGAAGTGAATTTAACTTGTAAATGTACAGTCATTATTAAAAGGTAAAACTAATGTATTTATATAAAATATTTCCTGGATTCATTAACATGATTAATCAATCAATGTTTATTTATATAGCCCAATATCACAAATGTTACATTTGTCTCAGTGGACTTCACAGTTTGTACAGAATATCAGTATGACAATACGACACCCTCTGTCCTTAGACCCTCACATCGTACAAGGAAAAACTTCCAGAGAAAACCCAGCTTAAAGGGGAAAATGGGAGAAACCTCAGGGAGAGCAACAGAGGAGGGATCCCTCTCCCAGACGGACAGACGTGCAATAGATGCTGTATGTAAATCGAAGAGATAATACATTTTACAGCATAGGTAGACCAAATGTTTGGAAATGCATGTGTCTATAATAAGAAGATGAATACACGAGGATGTCAACAATCCTGTGGGAGCCATCAGGGAAGTAGTATGATGGCAGGCAGGACCAGTGACAGGTTCAGCCACGACTCGATATAATATAATGCATGGTAGTTCACATTAAATACACTCATTGTCCAGTGTTTGAGCTTTAAAAAGGTTATTCGTTTACTTAAATGTGTTGTAAATACTGGTCTTTATAATCCTTTTTAAAATTCAAAATGTTGTCTTAAGAATACTTATATATTTTCTTTTGTCTACCTACTTCGCAACTTATTTAGATTTGTTTGAACAATAAAAACCCTGACATGCATGCTACATGGAGAATACATAATATTGTGTTTACACTGACCTGTTACTTCTATGGTGGTACAGAAAACAAATCTAGTGTGAACCAGTGTATTCATTAATATCAAGGATTTGTAACTCTTTAAAAAGGTGTAGGTGGCTCTCAAAAGAACCGTTGTGTTTGGGTGTCCTGGTCTCAGTCACTAAGCCCTCTCCCCGCGGATGCGGCGGGCCAGCTGGATGTCCTTGGGCATGATGGTGACCCTCTTGGCGTGGATGGCGCACAGGTTGGTGTCCTCGAACAGGCCGACCAGGTAGGCCTCGCTGGACTCCTGCAGAGCCATGACGGCGGAGCTCTGGAAGCGCAGGTCGGTCTTGAAGTCCTGAGCGATCTCCCTCACCAGGCGCTGGAAGGGCAGCTTGCGGATCAGCAGCTCGGTGGACTTCTGGTAGCGGCGGATCTCCCTCAGAGCCACGGTACCGGGCCTGTAACGGTGAGGTTTCTTCACGCCGCCGGTAGCAGGGGCGCTCTTACGGGCAGCCTTGGTAGCCAGCTGCTTCCTGGGAGCCTTTCCTCCGGTGGATTTACGGGCGGTCTGCTTGGTTCTGGCCATTGTAGTTTCTCAGTGTTCACAGCAAGAGGAGGAATGCTGTGTTTCTGTGAGCAGCGGCTTTATGAAGGAGCTGCCGGAGCAGGGAAGCGCTGATTGGTGCAGGCCGGGAGACACGTGCGCTGTAGCTGCTTTACTATTGGACAATGTAGACCACTCATCCACAGCATGGATGTATAATAAGAACTGGATACAGCGTGGGAGGCGGGGCCTAATTCATTCCTATGAGAGTTGCTCATTCGCGCATGATGATAAAATCATAGATATATATAAACACTAGATGGCTCATGGGAGATTTTCCAGCGTAGCTCACTGGCCGCCATCTTGCTACAGTCAACAGCTACTCTGGTACGCGCTATGGTAGCTGTTGTAAGGTGAGTGATCTGCACAAAAATACTCTTAACTCGCTGAAATCTTGACTGATTTACAAACGGTTTGGTTTATTATAAACATTATTAGCAAGGCTATGATACAATATGCTTGGACATGTTGAAATAGCAGCTTTTCTTTGTCTATGTGTGGTTGTATTTATTAGCTGGCTAATAACAAGAGGCTGTGAGTGAGACCTGGTATTACAAAGTTGACCAAGAACCCGTGGAATCACCTTTCACGTGTAAGATATGACAATATTATGACTATAATTAGGATAATCGTTAATTACGTAGTGGATGTATGTACATTACAAGTTCTGCTACACAGGATCAGTGGGGCTATGTGAGATAATAGTATTGCAAGATTGTTGTTGACCCAGCCTCTTTAGAATATGTTGCTACCATTTCTTTACACAATTATTTAATGTTTCTTTTGGACACCTTTTTTATAACTCTTAGTGTGGTTGTCTTATTCTTAAAGTATACATACATACATACAATTACCCCAAAAATATGATAATTTCGTTGTGTATTTTTGTCCTTACCCTTAATGTTAAAGGAAAGAAGGGAGGACAATGTTGACAATAATTGATATATCTGGCTACCTTTCTCATGTTTTTAAGGTTTCCCAAAACCGGAGAGAGGAGGACGGGGCAGACTGTCCGGCTTAAAGATGGTGTTGTGCCAACAGTATTCAACTTCCCAGCTCATCTTCAAAGGGTATGTGTATCATTGGCCAACAAGAATTCAAGGTGTATAAGATTGATATATATAAATATGTGATTAAATGTCACACTTTAGTTTTTCTTTCTGCAAGTTTAGGAATAAATAATGTGTTGTGTATTACAGCACATTTGAAACACTCAAAATGTCTTTAATTATGTTTATTTTAGCCGGAAGCAACAAGAAGCACAACCACTTCAAGAAGAGCGGAAGATGAACCTCAGCCTAATGTTGTGAGTATTCTGAATGTGGCCAAGACCAGAGAGATGGTCATTGATTTCAGGAGGGTGAGGACGTCTCCTCCTCTACCCCTGTGCATTCTGGGAGAGGATGTGGCTGTTGTGGAGGACTACAAATACCTGGGAGTGCACTTAGACAATGGGCTGAACTGGAGGATCAACACTGACGCTGTGCACAAGAAGGGGATGAGCAGACTCTATTTTCTGAGGAAGCTGAGATCCTTCCACGTGTGCAGCAAGATGCTGGAGATCTTCTATCAGTCTGTTGTGGCTAGTGCACTCTTCTTTGCTGCGGTCTGCTGGGGGGACAGCATCAGAGCCGGTGACACCAGCAGGATCAATAAACTGATCAGGAAAGCTGGGTCAGTCATCGGCATCAAGCTGGATCCCTTTGAAGCTGTGGTGGAGAGGAGGACACTGAACAGGCTGTTGTCCATCATGGATAACCCCACCCATCCTCTCCACCTGCAGCTGGACAGTCAACGGAGCTCCTTCTCCAACAGACTGCTGCAGCTCCCCTGTCATAATTCTGTACAACAAATCACCTCTGGCTGGAAGATAACTCTCTGCTCCATAGTTTATCTTGAATATTACCACGTTGTACATTTTACACATATATAATCTGTTCAATATTTAAAGGTGGGGTAGGTAAGTTTGAGAAACCGGCTCGAGATACACTTTTTGTTATATTCCATGGAATGCTCTTAACATCCCGATAGCAATGAATATCTGAAGTGCTTTGACAACAAATCCATAAAAAAATGTCATCTGTGGAAGCCGTAGTACTGTAAAAAGCACGACCAATCATTTTAGCCGGCCCAGCTAAAATAACTGGATGGCCTACCTGCCTGTCAGCCTTCCATCTGTGCACAAACTTATCTCGTGCCCTCATTGGTCATGTGCGCGTTTGTGTGTGTTGGAGGAGGGGCTCTGTAAGGAAGTAGCAGATTTTTTCCGGCTGTGTATTTTCAAATTCTAGCGATCTCGAGCTGGTTTCTCCAAAATTACCTACCCTACCTTTAACATTAATATTCCATATGCCTTATATTTATGTATATGTATATTAGATATATATAATATCCTGCCAAACTCAACATACATTGATTCTATAATTTAGGGTGCATTTCACATCAACAAAACAGTACAAAGAAAGTGTTCTTTCTCAATAGAACAATCAGTGGTTCAAGTTAGTATATTCCTCAGTGTAACATATCCACTAGTTGCAAAGCTTAAACATTTTTTTATTTTATTTTAAGGGAAAGGATGTTTTCACTACTCAGTTTGTCAACTATGTTACGGACAAACTTGATGTCATTACAATCATTTGATTAAGTCCTGCACTTCAAGTAAAATCACATTTGAAAGGCTCTTGAGTCTATTCTACCATATATCCAAAGATTTTTTAAAGTTTAAAAAATAATTGTATTAAAGTTTTGTTTTTTCATGTGATATGTTCAGCACTGTCATTAAGTTTAGGGATATTTTGTATTATAAAACTACCATACAGGTCATTTTGATAGTTTTAAGAGATGTCATGTAAAACTCCAACCTGTGTAGATATACATTATACTATAAAGGATATCAGAAGCACTATTTTAGATATTTTAAATTTGAAAAAATTAGGTGCAACATAGTTGACAATGAAAGTCAAACATTTGACGCAAATAAAATAGTTGACTGGACACATTATTAACCATCAGCACTATGTTAATTTCAAGGCAGAAGTGCAAAATTCCATTGATAATGATGTGTAATGACGTCTACATGTCCTACAAATTGTCAACTAGGTTACCTGTCAACTAAGTTACTACAGTTATTACAGTACTGGGTAACTTAGTTGACAGGTAACCTAGTTGACAATTTCCCTATTTTGACCCATCATTTCAATGGTAGGCCTTGCTTGGATGACCACATGTCATTTTCTTGAACAGGTTAACATCACATTTGAACATATAATTGAATTAAAATCATTAAACAATTGTAAACCATAACAATGTACGTAACATTGTTGATTGTCAATGAGTATATTAATTGACCATGTGCTATTATACATAAAATATTGTAAAAAATTAGAGGACAATCACCACAGTGTGTTCAAAATGTCTGCCAAAGAGGAACATGGCATCATGTGATGCTGGTGACATGGTATTGGGACAAACCATTTTTGAGTTAAAGGGGGGAGTTCTCTTAGTAACATAGTTGAC